CTTTCCACTTATTAGCTTTTAGGTAGCTTTTATATGGGCTGCATTTAAACTTAAGATGCCTCACCTACACCTCAAGTGAGATGTATTAATGAAGCTTATTTTTCAGAGCAACTCCTATTGTGGCCTTGCTGAGAAACAACCAGAAACAGCTTCCTCACATTAGTAGATCCAGTCTGGCCCAAAAAGTTATATTTGGCACATGACTCATTGACATCTTAGCATGAATAACTGCATTCACACTCCAGAGTTGACCTTGCTTGCCACTATTCCAGGATAATCACTATAAGCTGATGCGTCAGTCTTATGACGAGAGGACATCTTTACAAGAAGCCTAGCCACCACAAAGAGCCCTGGGAAGTTGTCATTTCCTGTGATGGCACCATTGGGATCAGATCTATAGTAGAGTTGAGGAAGGAATGTTCATCCCCACTTCTATCTATCCCACATTCATCCCCCACATGCAGCTATAGGGAGTGTGTATAAAAATAAAGTAATTAAGGGGAGAGAGTTCCAACACAAGTCCAGATTTTGTAGGGATGCTCTAAATACTTATGCTGACAGCAGGAAGAGAGGGTTCATTCTCTTTTCTTCCATGTTTGGAGGACACAGATGCCTCAAGGAGGTTAGTTTAAACCAGTGTTTCTCAAACTTGGCAACTTTAAGATGTATGGACTTTAACTCCCAGAATTCCCCAGCCAGCGCTGGTTTAGGTTAGTTTAAACCAGCACAACCTCAGCAATGTTTTGGGTTATAAGTAAACCTCTTTACTCCTAAGTGTTGGGTTATGTATTGGGATGACACATCACCCTTGTCTCCCCCTCCCCACTGCTCCCCCCAACACATGTACCTTAAACCAACTAAATATACTGTATGAACATAATATCTCTGTTTCCCTAGCAGGTAATGGACATGGAGGAGTGGGCATGAGACTGGGTCAAAATGTGATTGGATAGTGTACATTTGGAACATTTGAAAACATTAGTAGATGACAAAGATTCTTCCCTATGAGAATATGTAATGTGAAATTCTTTTCCTCTGCTCCATGTGAGAACAGTAAGCTATGTTCTGACTATACTCCAGGGCTATAAACTGCTGCATTAAGGTTGTTGAAATATATCTTCATAGTAAATCAGTTAAGGGAATGCTGAAAATAATTGCTTCAAGAAATGAGAAAATAAAACAGGTTTACACTGCATACAATGTGTTCAGTGCATGGTCCAGGGACAGGGATATTTTATCCAGTGGGATTAAAAGCACTTGGAAGTAGGGAACTGAGATTTGGAAAAACTAGCACAGGGAACACATCTTTTCACAAGTGCCATGGCTCAGATCATAGTGATAATCCCAACCCATATTTAATTAAAATCAACAAATCAAAATAAATCATCTAGAAAAATATAACCATGGATCTTCTCTCGAGTCATATACTTTGGCCTCAGGATGGATGCAGATCTTCCATGAAGGATGGAACCACCATAGAACAAACAGTTCTTGTCAAACTTCCTAACCACACGAAAAGGCCAGAACGACACTTGCCAAGGCTTCATTCAACTTTGATTTCCTTTACCATCTAGAGTGATGCTCTGTTTTGACCCCTTCCTGGTTTTAGATCTTCGTAATCTTGCAACACAAAAATATGTGTGCCTAATAGAAACTATTGTCCCACTTTAAAAGTCTCTCCAGAAGGCAGGAGTTGGGACAGTGATTCTTTTCAGCAGAGACAAGAAGCAGAAAGGGGTGACAGTTGTAGGATATGAGTTACATCACCATCATTCATTTCTGAGTCATATTTAGCAAATCCTAGCAGTGTCACAATACTGTCAAGAAGATCATGGCTAGATTGTGTTGGCGGGATTGTAAACACATGGATACATATTGCCATCTTTGGTCACAATGCCCAGTTAATCATTCCTTCTGGTAAATCCTTTATGAAGAAATCAAGAAAATCACTCAACAGACTTTCAAAATGAATCCTGCTATTAATTTACAGTTCATTTTCCTAACTATAAAAATTAATGTAATACAAAGAATTGATTCAGTTCCTATTGTTAGCTGCTGCAGAAAACTGGAAAGCTAACTTTCTTTGGATTAGAAGTATTCAAACATATGAGAAATCACTTTGGCTGAAAAATTAACCCACCAGCAAAAAAAAAAAAAAAAAAAAAAAAAAAAAA